TCAGGCCCCAGACTCGGTTCAGATATGAGAATCCGGTGCGGGCCGAGACTCCTCTGGTTCCGAGTCCAAGCCTGAGTCCCAGGCCATCACACAATGGTCAAGAAGGCAGTTTCTGCAGGTGCTGTAGAGGGAAATGAGGGAGCCCATCTAGGAGAAGGAAAATTCTGATGCTAAACCTCCGCTGCCTTACCAGATAACTTCAGGAGAATAAAAGGCTCAGGAGTAAACCCTACACAAATCTTCAGTGGAGTCCCTAAGATGTGGGTGTTGTCTTGTACATCTCCTTCCGGCAACTGCTGTAGCCAAGCTGGTGCCAAACCAATTGCGCTGCTTTCCTCTGGACCACATGAGTGAGGCCAAGAGGGTCACTTCATACACACCTCCATACACACTGTCCCAACTTTTGTCCTGGGGAGGTCACTTCAGTACTGCTAGTGCAGTGGTTTGGCTTCACCCCTCGAGGCGTACCCCATTGCCTCTCAACACAGACGGATGCCGACATGTGGCCTAGCCTGTTCTTCAAGGGCTATCTGCAGTTGCTTACTCAAGAGGGACAAACGCTCTACACGTGCTCAGAGGCAGTGCACTTGTAATTCATCCAAGCATTTTTGAGCAGTGTTCTAGCACAGAATATGCATCGCTGGGATGACTTCTGTGGCGTTTGCCCTCCTAGGTGTGTGACATCATACTGGGTTCATAAGGAAAGGGTTAACTAATTGTAAAAGGACTAACCAATGGGAACCCAAGGGGCGGAGTTAACTGTGTATAAGGTTTAAGCACAGAGGTTTTTGGGGGGAGTTAGAGTGGTTGAGAAAACAGTCTGGAGTTAGACGAGAGAGGGAAGATAAGTCTGTGGGTTGGGCTAGTCTGGTGTGAGAGAGGGAGAGAATTTGTTAAGAGGGGTCAGTCAAACAGTTGAGATGATCAGTCAGAAGGTATTAGGAAGGTATAGGCTGGTAAAGAAACTAAAGTTAAGATACTAACAGGAATATTATCTGAGAAACCATAACCTTGTTAATGTTTGTAAAATAAACTTGTTTTTTTGCTTCACTTTTAACAACTGAGTGGACTCAGTGTTTTACCCGAGAGTAACTGGTTGGTGGCAGCGGGGAAGCGAGCACAGTGGTGGCGCAGGGATCAATAGACTGTTAAACGTCCAGGGACCCTGTGTGATCGCCACAACTTCTTCAGGGAGTGACTCAATAAGTTGTTGTTGTTGCTGCTGCTGCTGTTAATCCAACCCCTTCCTCCAAGAAACTCAGGATCGTGTACCTATTGCTCCCCTGCTCATTTCTTCCTCACAACAGCTCTGCGAGGATGGTTAGGACTGGGAGATGGTGGTGTGGCCCCTATTTCGTTAGCTCAAAAATGGAAAATGAGTGAGGTCCCAACTAAAGAAGAATGGCAATTTAAACTGATGGAATATGCTCAGTTTGTGGACCTGAAGAACATACATTTAAAGAAGATTAGAAAATGTTTATTGAATATATGGGGGGGGGCAATTGTGTACACTTGAAAACGTTGGCAGCATTAAGATAGATCCAACAGTGTAAATAATTTGTGATGGATGTAATAATGGAATACTGAATGGTTTAGTTTACGTAAAATATGCAGGGATTTATGATATGCAAAATGAACCATGGAAAGAGAAGAAGGGAAGTCACTGATTTCTTAAGGTTGTTTAAATGAGTATTCTAAATTGTAAAACAGAAAATTTAATAAAAATTATATACACATAAGGACTGGGAGATGGTGTCTGACGCAAGGAACTTTACAGAGCTCCATCACTGGGAAGGGATTTAAACCTGAATCTCCCCAATTCTAGTTTGATGTGGAGGGCCACAGCCCCTTCTTCTCTGAGTTACATAGACTGTTGGTCCAACCCACAGGGATAAAAGGAGCTGCCTTATAGTACCAGATCATTGGTCCACTTAGCTCAGTTTTGTCTAAGGCACAGGTCAGTTCTGTGTCCAGGGCAGCTGTCTACCAGCTCCATCTGGTACACAGGCTGAGACCCTACCTGCCCGCAGACTGTCTCGCCAGAGTGGTGCATGCTCTAGTTATCTCCCGCTTGGACTACTGCAATGCGCTCTACGTGGGGCTACCTTTGAAGGTGACCTGGAAACTACAACTAATCCAGAATGCAGCAGCTAGACTGGTGACTGGGAGCGGCCGCCGAGACCACATAACACCGGTCTTGAAAGACCTACACTGGCTCCCAGTACGTTTCCAAGCACAATTCAAAGTGTTGGTGCTGACCTTTAAAACCCTAAACGGCCTCAGCTCAGTATAACTGAAGGAGCGTCTCCACCCCCATCATTCAGCCCAGACACTGAGGTCTAGTGCCGAGGGCCTTCTGGCGGTTCTCTCACTACGAGATGCCAAGTTACAGGGAACCAGGTAGAGGGCCTTCTCGGTAGTGGCACCCACCCTGTGGAACGCCCTCCCACCAGATGTCAAAGAGAAGAACAACTACCAGACTTTTAGAAAACATCTGAAGGCAGCCCTGTTTAGGGAAGCTTTTAATGTTTAATAGACTATTGTATTTTAATATTGTGTTGGAAGCCGCCCAGAGTGGCTGGGGAAACCCAGCCAGATGGGCGGGGTATAAATTATTATTATTATTATTATTATTATTATTATTATACATCAGGGTAGCTAAACTGTGGCATCCCAGATGTTGCTGGAGACTACAGCTCTTATAATTCCTGACTATTGGTCATGTTTGCCAGGGCTTTTGGAAGTTGTACAGTCCAACAGCATCTGAAAGACACCATGCTGACTTACCCCTCTCCAGGATTTCACTCTTCTACAGCCATACCTGGAGCTGCTGGGGATTGGGCCCTACATGCAACACCAAGACTATTCCAATTCTAAATAGAATCACAATGTTCTTATGCAACATCAAGGCAATTCCAATTCTAAATAGAATCACAATGTTCTTATGCAGATGTGATGCCCATTCAGCCTCTGTTCTCCACCCATTACTAATCTCATTAGCGTTGTCGATTCTGCCATCACAAAGCACCTGAAATTATTCCATTCAACGAGGCGCCCTATTTGTAACTATGCAGATTCCTAATCACCACAATACATATTTACGGTTATATTCAGAAGCTGGACTTTCCAGGACTGCTTTGAGGCGCAGCTGGATGTAGAAGAAAATTGTACATCCATTCTGATTGTTAGTGCCCAGATTTTCTTTCCAAAGTGCTTTTCAGCTCTTAAAAATACTGGCTGCTCTCAAGGAGGAACTGCAGGTTTTCTGAAGAAGAATAAAGAAGTATTGTCTCTTGAATCCACTTTTCTGTATGCTGTTTTGTCACGGGCCACGAGCAGTTTTATTCTAAGTTTGCAGCTCTTGAGATGCTTGTTCTAAAGTAGCTCCATAGATAAAGTTATTTGAGGACTGAATCTTTACAGCTGTTTGCCAGCTATAAAGAAACTGGCTCCTCCAAACTGGGTGGTTTCTACCCCTCCCCCATGTGCATTCTGTTTTTATTATTATTATTAAATTTTTATTGAAAATTTTATTTACAACATAACATAAGCCCCCCAATACAGAAATACAATAAGCATAACATACAACGTTGTTGTTGTTTAGTTGTTTAGTCGTGTCCGACTCTTCGTGACCCCGTGGACCAGAGCACGCCAGGCACTCCTGTCTTCCACTGCCTCCCGCAGTTTGGTCAAACTCATGTTCGTAGCGTCGAGAACACTGTCCAACCATCTCGCCCTCTGCCGTCCCCTTCTCCTTGTGCCCTCCATCTTTCCCAACATCAGGGTCTTTTCCAGGGAGTCTTCTCTTCTCATGAGGTGGCCAAAGTATTGGAGCCTCACCTTCACGATCTGTCCTTCCAGTGAGCACTCAGGGCTGATTTCCTTCAGAATGGAGAGGTTTGATCTTCTTGCAGTCCATGGGACTCTCAAGAGTCTCCTCCAGCACCAAAATTCAAAAGCATCAATTCTTCAGCGATCAGCCTTCTTTATGGTCCAGCTCTCACTTCCATACATCACTACTGGGAAAACCATAGCTTTTACTATACGGACCTTTGTTGGTAAGGTGATGTCTCTGCTTTTTAAGTCTTTGACCATGGAGTTTTCTTGGCAGGGATACTGGAGTGGCTTGCCAGTTCCTGCTCCAGGTGGATCACGTTTGGTCAAAACTCTCCACTATGACCTGTCCATCTTGGGTGGCCCTGCACGGCATAGTTCATAGCTTCTCTGAGTTATTCAAGTCCCTTCACCACGGCAGGGCAGTGATCCATGAAGGGGACATTCAACAATACAAACAACCAATTAAAAGACTTCCTTTATCCTGTATCTGGCCTCCTTATTTACTTCTTATAAGCTGTTTCCTTTATGAATAATTATTAAGATTTTTCTAATTATAACTTAAATATCCACAAAATCTCCTGCAGACATTAATCAAAACAAGTCCAGGTATGTATTTTAGGGCAGTGTTTTATGAAGTATTCTCTGCATTTTCCCCATGCTTTTTGAAACTCTTGTCTAGTGTGATCTCTAATTGCTTCTGTTAATCTAGCCAGTTCAATATACTCTAACAGTTTGTCTTACCATTTCTTTTTTGTTGGCACAATTTCCAGTTTTTAGCAATTAGGATCCTTGCCGCTCCTGTGGCATAGATGAATATTTTCTGATCTTCTCTTGCTATATCCCCATGTGCATTCTGAATAGGGATGGGAGAATCTGACCATTTCAGTTTCTATCAGTTTCTCATTTTTCCAGTCTTAAATCCAGTTCTTCGTATTTCCACATAAGTTTGATATATCTATATCTATTTATCTATAGAGATATAGTTATAGATACAGATATATATTCTTCATGAAAATTCATCAGCACTTTAGTGCGAATTTCCTGAATTTCACTTTTGTATGCAATGCTGCAAAGCAATTTCCCCTACTGCAATTCACTTTTTATTTTCACGGATGCATGCATTTATATACTCTACCTTAGCGTATGCATTTAGCTGGATATTACCTGGCTGGAGAGCTGCACTGCAAAACTTGGAGAAATGCGAATTTCTAAGCATGGCTGGGTTTCAGTTCGCATCCTATTTCGGAAAGTGCAGATTTGGTAGGTTTGCCTGTCAGTGTGAACTGAATTTCTCTTCCATTCTGAATTCTGCAACAAATCATGGGCTCTGCAATAGTGCATTAGTGGTGGGTTTATACTGGACTGTCCACACATCATTCATCTTCGTTGGTTTTGCATTGCTTCCCTAATGTTACCCTGTATGGAGAAGAAGAAGAAGAGTTTGAAGAGTTTGGATTTGATATCCCGCTTTATCACTACCCTAAGGAGTCTCAAAGCGGCTAACATTCTCCTTTCCCTTCCTCCCCCACAACAAACACTCTGTGAGGTGAGTGGGGCTGAGAGACTTCAAAGAAGTGCGACTGGCCCAGCAGCTGCATGTGGAGGAGCGGGGACGCGAACCTGGTTCATCAGATTATGAGTCTATCGCTCTTAACCACTATGCCACACTGGCTCTCTTGAACTATATCAGGGCAAAATTGGGATGACAACAACCCTGGATCTCTCATGGTATAAAAAGTCACAGGATATTAGCAGGAGGTTATGGCACATGCACTGATTGGAAATGAAATTAAAAAATTCCTCCCAGTAGCACCTTAGAGACCAACTAAGTTTGTTATTGATATGAGCTCTCGTGTGCATGCATTGGAAATTAATCAGTATTTCCATCCCAAAACTTTTGCAGGTGCAAGCAGTATTGAAAGGGGATTGAGTATCACTGCCCAGATACCATCATGAGCGCAAATCATCATAAATACACAATAAACACAGCATCTGGAGTGGGACAAAATTTAGCCGCTTTGAAGCTGTTTTTAGGACTCGCATAAAGAAAGAGCAAGCAAAGATGTCTGAAACTACTTGAGATTTATTATATTTGGCCAAGGGACCAGGCATGCAGAGTGTCACGAGTTTTATGGGCCTGTTTTAATGCAGCTGCCCCATTCACATTATGTTCCATTTTAAGCAATGCTGTCTTTTGTCCTATGATACTCCTAACTATGCTACTCATCTCTTCCTTTTGATGTAGACAAGCCTCCTGGCTGGGCAAAGATTAACATTGCCCTAGATCAGCGATTCTCAACCTGTGGGTCCCCAGATGTTGTTGGACTACAACTCCCATCATCCCTGAGCTCTGGCCTTGCTAGCTAGGGGTGATGGGAGTTGTAGTCCAACAACATCTGGGGACCCACAGGTTGAGAAAGGCTGCCCTAGATGAAAACAAAGGACATCATCACCATAGTTTTCAGGATCCCCAGAATGGGGGAGGGTGATAAGCTCAGAGTCAATTGCTTTGATGAAGAAAAAGCAGAAATACTGAAGCCAACATAGTAGATTTTAGTTTATGCAAGCTTATTCCTCTGTTTCTATGTGTTATGCAATAGTTACAGGGCTGACCCTATTATTAGGTAGAATGAGGCAGCCGCTTCAGGCAGCGAATGCTGTTGGGTGGCCCATGACCTTTCCTGGGCCTCTTAAGCTGCCCTCATGCACCAGTGTTGAAGTAAGATTCAGCTGCCAATTTGGTAAGCTTTTGTACAAGGGGGGCCACTGTGTTGCCAATTGCCTCAGGTAGCAAAATGTCTCGGGGCAGCCTTGAGTAAGTAGATCATGCAAGTTGAAATCATAGAATCTAGTCCAACCCTCTGCAATGCAGGGATCTCAGCTAAAGCTTCCATGGCATGTGACCATCCAACCTCTGCTTAAAATTCTCTAAGGAAGGGGAGTCCACAACTTCCCAAGGGAGACTGTTCCACTGTCGAACATTTCTTGTGTGGTTTGCTGGTTGCAATCCACATCAGAAGAGGACAGCCTAGGGTTACAATATTTCAAAAAGTGACAATCCAGACAAAAAAGTTGGGACACGGGTGGTGCTGTGGGTTAAACCACAGAGCCTTGGACTTGCCGATCAGAAGGTTGGCGGTTCGAATCCCCATTATGGGGTGAGCTCCTGTTGCTCGGTCCCTGCTCCTGCCAACCTAGCAGTTCGAAAGCATGTCAAAGTGCAAGTAGATAAATACCTTCCGGCGGGAAGGTAAACGGCATTTCCATGCGCTGCTCTGGTTCACCAGAAGCGGCTTAGTCATGCTGGCCACATGACCCGGAAGCTGTACGCCGGCTCCCTCGGCCAATAAAGCGAGATGAGTGCCACAACCCTAGAGTCGGCCACAACTGGACCTAATGGTCAGGGGTCCCTTTACCTTTATCCAATCCAGATATGGAGGGCCAGATACGGAAGTCTGGGGAGCCACATTGAGACCCTGTTCCTGTGATTTCTTCCCTCTGCTTTATCCCAATCGAAAGGAAATTCCATCTCCAGGCAACGAGGTTTGTTACTGCATTGTTTTTATATCTCTATGGCTCCAACAGCGTTTGCCATCCAACTGGCAGTGAGAAGGAAAGATAAATAGCGTTGTACTCTGGGACACCAAGATCCCAGGGACACTGGGAGTCCGTGCTGCTGGTATGATTTACAGTCCCCAGAATGTGAGTAAATGAATTCAGCCTCAGGAATCTAGTGTGCACTGTGGAACTGACAGAGAACCACATCTAAAGAGCCTTTGTCACTCGTGTATAAGTAATATCTGTAGGAAAGCAGGGGCAGCAACAAATATTGCCACTGCTTATCCTTCTAATAGGGATGTGGGTGGCGCTATGGGTTAAACCACAGAGCCTAGGACTTGCTGATCAGAAGATTGGTGGTTCGAATCCCTGTGACAGCGTGAGCTCCCGTTGCTCAGTCTCTGCTCCTGCCAACCTAGCAGTTTGAAAGCACGTCAAAGTGCAAGTACATAAATAGGTCCCACTCCAGCGGGAAGGTAAACGGTGTTTCCGTGCGCTGCTCTGGTTCACCAGAAGCGGCTTAGTCATGCTGGCCACATGACCCGGAAGCTGTACGCCGGCTCCCTCGGCCAATAAAGCGAGATGAGCGCCGCAACCCCAGAGGCGGCCACGACTGGACCTAATGGTCAGGGGTACCTTTACCTTTATCCTTCTAATAAAAGCACTCCTGTTCAGGGTTCCAGCCAGCCAGGCCCGTCTTCAAGATACTCCGTTCCATCCCTCCTCATTTCCTTTTAACTTCCCACCTCCCTAACTGACACACATTCTGTGGTTACTGAGTATGCTCAGTCCTCATGGGGCTGTTTTGAGGTTCTTTTTGCCCCCCTTAGATTTAATTTTTAAAAGGTTTCAGATTTGTGCTTCCATATACCTTAAGGTTCCCATGAGCTTGTGGATCCTTCTCTCTTTTTCCTAAGAGACCCTCTGCTTGGACTCTGCCATTTCCTTCAGCACGGAGTCACCTGTCTTCACAGTTAGAGGGCGTAGCAAGCTCCTTCAGCAACTGGCTATAAATATAAGCCAGGCAGCCAAAGCATAAATAAGCTAAGGGAGATCCATCAGTTATTCTGTTTCTTTCAAAACTGGCAAGGCTTTCCTTGGCCAGTTTTGGAAAAACAAAGCAAAAACAAAATGCTGATGCAGAGCCACCACCAGCTCTGCTGAGGAATCATAGAGTTATTAGAGTTGGAAGGGACCCTTTGGGTCATCTAGTCCAACCCCCTGCAATTCAGGAGTCTCAGCTCACAAACCCCCCATCCAACCTCCCCAACCAATGGAGAAGTGAACAGGGATGCAGGGCCTATCCATTGGCAGAGCCGAGAAACAACTACCGTATTTTTTGCTCTATAAGACTCACTTTTTCCCTCCCAAAAAGTAAGGGGAAATGTGTGTGTGTCTTATGGAGCGAATGTAGGCTGTGCAGCTATCCCAGAAGCCAGAACAGCAAGAGGGATTGCTGCTTTCACTGCACAGTGATCCCTCTTGCTGTTCTGGCTTCTGAGATTCAGAATATATTTTTTCTTGTTTTCCTCCTCCAAAAACTAGGTGCTTCTTGAGGTCTGGTGCGTCCTATAGAGAGAAAAATACGGTACTTTATGCTCCTCCACTTCTCAACGTTTTCCTCCCCAGCTGGTCATCAGAGGAGCTTGGAACCAATAACTTATATCTTGCGTACTTCCTCCTCCCTCCCAGCCCATTTTCCTTTTGTGAGGTGTCTTCTGTTTGCTTGGTTTTTGTAAGTTTGCCTTGCTTATAGCGTCTAATGGCCTGTAAGCAACACAGAGAGCTTATATTTTTTAGCCATAGGTCAGCGGTAGAGCATCTGCTTTTAAAGCAGAAGGTCTCCAGTTCAATCCTCAGGGAGGACTGTGTAGACAATACTGAGCTAGACTAATGGAATAATGGTCTGATTCAGTAGAAGGCATCTTCCTATGTTCCTATGATAGCTAGATCTATCCATGCGTCCCAAATCTCTGAGTAGTGAGAGACTTCAGTGGTTCCAGATCTTACCTGGGGTTCGGTTTCCTTGGAATGAAGGTCAACGGAGACTGTGGTGCCTTTAGGATATATGGTTTTATTTACACACACACAGAGAACCTGAGGCTAGCATGGAAGGGCTCACAGCATTGACATTTCAACAGACCTTTCCCTCCCCGTTAGGTTTCCAAGGGATCTCAAAGACATAGCTTTGGGTCCAGCACAGAGCGAGACAATCCTCTGTGTATCCAGCTTCCAGCATCAGCCAAAACACACACTCTCTCTCTCACACAGAAACCCTCCGTGACCTATTGTTCCCCATCCTAGGTTAATGTTGCATCTAGCCAGGTGAAGGCAGGTGGGGAAAATGACTATTCCTGTAGATCACCATCACTTAGCTGCCGCTATGGCAACACAGCATCTTTAAGATGCTGATGAGAGCACTTAACTGGCGAGCTAAGGCGATTTCCTCATAAGGAGAAATGCCTCAACAGCTTTTTGTACTCGATTCTAAAACTCACTGGATACAGAATCACCTGCATGGAAGGGGACCCCGCTCCCTCAAATATCATTCAAGTTAGCCACCACCCCCATAACAATATATATAATGGAATTTTGAAAAATCAGTGTTTGAACCAGGCCTAGAGAAATGATGCTGCGGTCCTGATGTTGTTATGATTCAAGGTTGTCTTTTCTTGTCATCGGTTGGCTCAGTCACAGTTCCAGATCTCCCTGATCCAACGTGAGCATCTAGCTAGCCAACTGACATGGCTGGGCGTAGGCAGAGTTTCAGGACATAAAACTTAAACATAATTACACATCACAACAAAGAAAGTGGGGGGAAACTTTATTTAAAAAGGTTGTCTTTATGAAGTGGACAACTAGTAGATCTACATATGCTGAGGTTCTTAATATAGTTTTCTGATGTGCATTATTTTCTTTAAAAAAAAAGATTTGAATGACAATAACCATGGTATTTGCTGGTAAACGTACCTTACACAGAATCTTACTACATAGTGAAGTAAATTTTACCTCACCTCTCTTTCCACCCACTTCTGATCGCTGCAGGGGCATGGAAATATTTAAGTTCATTCTACTCAAGTCCGATTGATTTAAGCATAATTCTAAGGCTGGGTCCAAATCCTTGGTTCAAGAAGTAATCTAGGTCATTTAGGGTTGTTTACAGCAATGCCAGAACTTTGAACTTCTCCTGGAGCAAGCTCCCCTCTCCGATGGTCTTCCAGGACCAGGAAGGCATGAAGTGGGAGGAGCAAAGGCAGACATGCTGGCGCAGTCTCAGATTGCTTGGGAAAAGCCCTGGAAGGAAGAGACTTAGGCAGCTGTGGAAGGCAGGGACCTTTAGTCTCTGCAACTGCCTCATAGGGGCACTCCTGAACAGATCCTGTTTCTTCTAATAAAGAGTTAACTTCACTTACTCTGTGTGATTTATTGCTGGCTCCCTCCTGACACTGGCCTAGTTTAGTCTCTGAAGAGCTTAAAAAAACCTGAAGGGATTCATTGTATTTTTGTATGGAACCATCTTGTCCAACCAGGTGCCCTCCAGATGTTGTTGGACTACAACTCCCAACACCCCTGCCCATTGGCCATGCTGACTGAGGCTGATGGGAGTTGAAGTCCTGCAACACCTGAAGGACACTGGGCTGAGGGAAGCTAGTCTAGAGGAAAGTTTGATTGTGTCAGCCCTCACCTCCGATCTAAAATGGTACACATGCTGGAAGGTGGGCCTGGCTCTGGTAGACCATGTCAGTGACAACTACACTACAATTACAGTGTTTCTCTCTATTTCAGGGGTGAGGGACCTGTGGCCCTCCAGGTGTTGTGGGGCTCTGGGCTCCCACCAGACCCTGCTAGCATGGCCAAAATTCAGGAATGATGGGAACTGTAGTCCAACATCATCTGGACGGCAACACGTCCCCTACCCCTGCTCCGTTTGGTTCGACCTGGTGCTTGCACATAATAAATAGCTCCCAGCTCCATTAATTTTTTACATCGAGTTAACACAAATGTCTTAAGAGGTCTTTTTTTTACAGAATAGGGTGTGGGATTGCTTGAGACCTGTCATGTCTCCAGCAAGTTCTGGTTTCCTTCCGGTGTCATGAACTGGACCTTGGGCACCACAAAGGATGAATTATTCCTCCTCATGGAGTTGTTCCTCCTTATGGAGTTATTCCTCCTCATGGAATTGCGTTTCCTCAGGGAGTTCTGGTGTGACAGCTCGCTCTTCTGGAGGGTCTGGATGAGGATGGAAGGCTTCTCGTCCAACTCCTTGGCACTGCAACGCGGCGCTGCGACTTTGCTCGTGTTGCCAAACTTGGAGTAGTCGACAGCGTAGGCCCCTTCTTCTTCCGCTACGATGGGCACGAAGCGGTGGCCCCAGAGGATCTCTTCGGATATGTAGGACGTTCTTGCTTGGGTGGTGATTCCAGTGGTTTCCACCACACCTTCAAGTATGACAATGATCTCTAGGTCTTGGCTGGCCAAGTCATTGGCAGAGATGTCATAGAGAGGACTCCGCTTGTCAATGATGTGGCTAATAATCAAAGGGGCCACTAGGAAAATATTGTTGCTCTCAATGGGATTGTCTACCGGGACATCTAGCTGGTGGATCGGGATGACTTCTCCTTCAGGGGTGGTGGTCTTCTTGACCACCTGGATCCGCACTGAGGCACTGATGATCATGCTTTTCCTCAAGTCCCCAACCCGAAACATGAAGCAGAGTTTGCCATTGCGTACGGCGATGACCGCATTCCGGCTGAATATCAAGGTCTCGGCTCGCCGGTGTGCCTGCGCCGTCTTCATGAAGATGCAGCCCAACATGACGGCGTTGATGATCAAGCCCACAATGTTCTGGAGCATCAGTACGGTGATCGCTATGGGACATTCTTCGGTCATCATCCTCCCTCCAAAGCCAATGGTCACCTGGACCTCAATAGAGAAGAGGAAAGCGGAGGTGAAAGACCTAAGGGAAAGGAGAGAGGGGAAACAATGCACACCATTATCAAATACTGTATGAAGGGTGACTCGTGTTATCCATTACTGAAACTTACGTACCGTCAGGAATGAGCCAGCAGTAAATCACACCATGCAAGATGGAGTTAACTCTTTATTAGCAAAATTATGATCTGCACAGGAGTGTCAGGCCTAATGAGCACAGCGGCTCATCTCTGGCAGGTCTTGCTCCCATGAAGCAGTTGCTGGACTGAAGGTACCCGCCTCCCCATAGCTAGTCCCCTCCTCTGCAGGGCTTTCCCCAAGCAATCAGAGACTGTGCCTGCCTGTCACCAATATCTCCTCCGCTGTTTTCATGCCTCTTCTGGTTCTGGGAGACCAGTGGGGAGGGGAGCTTTTAGAGAAAAGTTGAGTAAGAGGCAACAAGATAGAACATTTTTGTAAAATTCTCCATGGCATGGAGAAAGTGGATGAATGCAATCATCAACTGGGGCTTTTCTTCAAGTGCCCCCTCTATGGGAAGTCTAGAGGGTAGCAACAAGAGAGCGGGCCTTTTCTGTGGTGGCTGCTCAATTGAGAGCCAGTGTGGTGTAGTGGTTAGGAGCAGTAGACTTGTAATCTGGTGAACCGGGTTCGCGTCTCCGCTCCTCCACATGCAGCTGCTGGGTGACCTTGGGCTAGTCACACTTCTTTGAAGTCTCTCAGCCCCACTCACCTCACAGAGTGTTTGTTGTGGGGGAGGAAGGGAAAGGAGATTGTGAGCCGCTTTGAGACTCCTTCGGGTAGTGATAAAGCGGGATATCAAATCCAAACTCTTTTTCTCCCCAGGGAGACTCACCTGACTCCAACACAGGATATGTTTAGGTACCAGGCAAAATCATTCAGCTAGGACTTTGGATGATAATGATCTATGGTCTTGTAAATCAGTGTGTGTGTGTGTGTGTGTGTGTGTGTGTGTGTGTGGTGTTGTTGTTGTTGTTAAAATTTGTACACTGCCCCTCATCCTTAGATCTCAGGTCGGTTCACAACATTTTAAATGTACAGTCGTACCTCAGAAGTTGAACGTTTGGCAAGACAAACGTTTTGGCTCCTGAATGCCGCAGACCCGGAAGTGATTGTTCCATTTTGCAATCGTCCTTTGGAACCCGAACGTCCATTGCGGCTTCTGATTGGCTGCAGCAGCTGCCTGCAGCCAATCAGAAGCTGCGCCTTGGTTCTTGAACATTTTGGAAGTTGAATGGACTTCTGGAACGGATTCCGTTTGACTTCCAAGGTACAACTGTATTTAATTTTTCTGGTGTATTTCCCCCTTGGTTTTAATCAATGTACGGCTTTCCTTTTGCTTTCCGTATAGTTGCTTTGAGTTGCTTGCGGCAAGAAATTTAATCAATCGTTGTCGCTATTACCTGACGCAAGTGACGCAAGGCCTATTGATGTCCTCGCTGGTTGTGCACGGCTTGTCCATGTCCCCGTGAGCAAAGGCCACCAGCCACCACATCATGGCGAAGAAGAGCCAGCTGCACAGGAAGGACATGGTGAAGATGACCAGTGTGTGGCGCCACTTCAGGTCCACCAGGGTGGTGAAGATGTCCTGCAGGAAGCGCCCTTGCTCGCGGATGTTCTTGTGAGCCAAGTTGCAAGCCCCGTTCTTGGCGATGAAGCGGGCTTTCTGTTGCCGGTCCCTGACGCGCGGCTTGCCCAGGTTCTCGGCCGCGATCCGTGCGAGGACATACTCTTCGGGGATGATGCTCTTCCTGGCCAGCATCTCCCTGTCACCATAGTCCACCGATCAACCGAAAATGGGCAGAGGTGGAGAGGATGGAAGAATCCTATAGAGACCTCTCGTGTATTCTGTTTGCTCTATCCGATCCTGGAGAAAGAAAGGAGCTTGCATAAGTCACCCCATCCCACTAATTCACTCCATTCTTGCCAATGATTATAGGCCTAGCTAGGACATGGGTGGCACTGTAGGTTAAACTACAGAGCCTAGGACTTGCCAATCAGAAGGTTGGCGGTTCGAATCCCCGCAACGGGATGAGCTCCCATTGCTCTGTCCCAGCTTCTGCCAACATAGCAGTTCGAAAGCACGTCAAAGTGCAAGTAGATAAATAGGTACCGCTCCGGCGGGAAGGTAAACAGCATTTCCGTGCACTGCTCTGGTTCGCCAGAAGCTGCTTAGTCATGATGGGCACATGACCCAGAAGCTGTACGCCAGCTCCCTCAGCCAATAAAGAGAGATGAGCGCCGCAACCCAAGAGTTGGCCACGACTGGACCTAATGGTCAGGGGTCCCTTTTCCTTTACCTTTAGGAAAGAAATTTGGGGGAGATTTGCCAGGAGGGTGGGGATTCTCATCTGAGGATCAACGGTTTCTGTACAAGTTAGGAGATCTTTTGCACTCTTGTACAAACAAATCCAAGAATTCTGGGCTGCTCCAATCAAAAATTCTATACAGAATGGGAATGTATAGGTGAATACGTGAAGAAATAGGGTGTTAAAGCAGAACTCTTAATAGGCAATTGTTAAGCGTTTAAGGACAAGTAATTATAATTTATCAGTTTTCATGTTATTTTATTTTGTTAAAGCAACTAGAAAAAAATATTATGTTGGGAAGATCTCACACAGGTGAAGGGAAGCAGTGGGGTGGAGGGGAGGGTTAGGTTGAATAAAAATAATATATGGGACAGCAAAGGATATAATAGATCCTTATAGAATAGTAATATATTGTAACCAGAATAGAAGTTCAAAAGGGGAAGTAAATGTACTTTTAGTATTTTCATTATTGTAATAGGTATTATTATTTCTTATCAGTAGAAGGCAATGTTAACTTAGACGTCTTCGTTTTGCTGTCTGTATAATTTTCTTAAGTCAATAAAAATATATATATTCTGGATTGCAACTTCAAAGCATTCATTTTCATGATTCCATTGGACTTTCTTTTTTTTAGTGTAATACTTTTTATTAGCTTTCAATTACAACCCAGTAAAATCCTCATTGTCACAATACCAAATTATAATACAATTAATAATGCCTATGGTTCAGATGCCAAATTATATTATTTTGTAGGCCCCCTTCGTGCTAGAATTGATGATTTGATAATTTACTTTAACTCTGTGATTCCATTAGACTTGCATTCCTCGATAATGAAATTGTCTTTTCCCCACCCTCTGCAAAAATATATAGTTTTTCAATCTGAAGAGCTGTCACATGGGAAATGGAACAAGCCGCTTTTCTTCTGCTCCAGATGGTAGGACCCAAACTGATGTATTCAAATTACAAGAAAGGCGATTCTGGCTAAACATTAGAAAGAACTATCTGCCGGTAAGAGCTGTTCAACAATGGAACAGACGGCAGGTAGTGGATTCTCCTTCCTTGGAGGTTTTTAAGCAGAGGTTGGGCGGCCATCTGCCATGGATGCTTGAGTTGAGATTCCTGCATTGTGGGGGGTTGGACTAGATGACCCTTGGGGTCCCTTCCAACTCTACAATTCTATGATTCTGTGGATGAGTCCCACAAAGGATTTGTGCCCTAGGAAAGCAAAACTCCACACGTTCTCCAACTAAACTCATATAAACATGGTCCGAAGACTGTTTGGGTTTAATTAATACTTTCTTGGGCAACATGAAAGGTTAAATGCACTGTTTAAACTCTTTCCCCCATTATACCTGCATGTTTCTAGCAAATGGAATACTGTGTATGAATGCATTTAGGGGATCTTCCCAACAAATGCTGAGAAACACCAAGGGATAAGCAGAACCTTAGCAGTTGTGTCAATTTCACGATACAAGTAAGAGAAAGCATCTTTGTTTGGGAATCTGGTGTTTATTTACAATGCAGGAAGCAAGTTTTTGAGTCACACAGGGCTCTTTCTATATGCATGACACCCTTAAACACAGAAGTTGCTAATCCAGAAATGGCTGGGATCCACTATTAAGGGCAAGTATTCAGTATCCCAGGAAAGTGAAACAAGCAAACAATAAATAAATAAATATCTAGCCTGGTTGAAGAGCCCTGTTTGACTCAAAAGCTTGCTTCTAGCATTTTAAATGCTAGCCCTCCAAATAAAATGCTAGTTCTCCCAAGTACGTTTGCACATGTGCTTCATGTCAGGAGAAAAGTTGTGCAACAAAGCAAGGACACAGAATGAGCGGCGCTGAACTAAGTTTTAAGTCAGAGTAGACCTATTGAAACAAATGGACCTAACTTAGGCATGTTTATGCATTTCGTTGGATGTACTCTGAGTAAAACTTAGGTGATTGCTGCTTCTTGACTAGTAAAACGTGAAATACCTATAAGTGTTGACATAATATTCAATGGAAATGTCTGCTACGAATAATCCAATGAAGCCTGGAAAACGGAAAATAAAAACAAAAGACTCTGTCATCCTGCAGGCACTTTTTAATCTGAGCAGGAGCAAGCAGGGGCTCTTTTCCCCTCAGTATGAGCCCTGAGCCATGATAATAAGAGTTCCTCTGAGCATGTCTGAAATCCCTTCTTGTAATTCGTACAGTGGTACCTTGGGTTACAGACGCTTCAGGTTACAGACTCCGCTAACCCAGAAATAGTACCTCCGGTTAAGAACTTTGCTTCAGGACGAGAACAGAAATCGTGCGGTGTCAGCAGGAGGCCCCATTAGCTAAAGTGGTGCTTCAGGTTAAGAACAGTTTCAGGTTAAGAACGGACCTCCAGAACGAATTAAGTTCTTATCCTGAGGTACCAACCCTGCCTTCGACAAGGGAGAAAATCCCCTCAAGGGCTCTCCAAAAGCACAGAGCATCACTTTCAAAATCCAGCACCAGAACTCTTACATAATAGTTACTTTGAGAGGAGGGGATAACAGCTTGTTTTAAGTCCCGGGGTGTGGGGATGCCAAATGAAAATGCGAAGCCACAACAGCTGCAGACACCAGAACTGCCTTCCTTAGCATTAAGGGGACACCGACTAAGGGAACTCAGACAGACCCAAGAAAGAAAGTGGAAACTTACGGAGATTCTGCAGCGACAGAACAGATGCAGTCTGGGCTCTCAGCCTGCCCAGATCCTTTGAGCTTCCATGGCAGCTGAATCCCCAAGAGGCGAAAGGCAGGATTTAAGACGCAGGTATTGCTGGTCTTCCTCACTCTCTGCTCCCCTCTGGGATTCTTCAGCCGCCTGCAGACTGGACGTGGTGGTCAGAGAATTGGCAGAGCCATTATTTGGTCTGCCTTGGCCCGGGGAAATGTTCTTTGGAGGAGAGGAAGAGGGAGGGGCGGAGGAGAGAGAGAGTGGAGGGGATGAAGGAGATCCAAGTTCAGGAAAGGCTGGCTGAGGCTGTGTATGGCGCTAGGTAGGAGAGAGGAATCTTGACATCAACAGTAGCAGCGACCAGAGCCCTGCCTCTTCTCATCTACCTCCTCCCTCGACATACAGATCGTTGCAAAGTTTTCAGTGTTTCCCCTGAGTTTGGGGATGGGACAGAGAGAGCAGGGGGAGGGATGCTGGCCCCAGTCCAAGCACCACTGACGCAGAGAGCAAGAGAGAGAGAGAGAATTAAATTCTCTTTTAACCTCTGGCCTGAATAGGGCTCAGTGACAAGCTACAGCAAAGAAACTCCATCTTCGGAGTCTCCATCCCGGCCAGTTGATTCGGTGTTTGGCTGTTTTCCATAAGAAACAGGGGGCTGAAATAAATGACCTTTCTGACCTTATAGGGGTCGAACCTCTCTTGGGAGGCTCAGCAGGCAATATAGTGCTCTCCCTAAGCTGTTGTGCCATGTGATTTAAGAGGTGCGATGAAATATACTCAGAGTCAAGAGTGGATTTCATGCTCTTTATTCAGCTCATAGTGGTGAGGAGGGAATGAAAGTCCCCTCAAAGTATCTGTTTTATATACATTATTTACACAATGGGCTGCACGTGATTGGCTAATTCTGGGATTCTCCTGTAGGCCAATCAGGTTGTGGATTCACTTCTATCTGGAGCTGGATTGGGTGGCTCCTGCAGACCAGTCATACTGCTGCATTGTCCTAGGACCAATCAGACTGCTGCATTCTGAATCCTGTTGGGTTTTTTTTGTTTTTTTAAAAGATATTTATTAAAGTTTCAACATATTACAAAAATAAGCGAAAAAAGAAAGAAAAAAGAGAGAGAAAAAATAGAAAATGAAAATACAAGATAAAAACAGTTAAAAAACAGATTAGTCTTTCCATATCTTATCTTTCATTTGCTTGTTTCCCTGACCTCCTCACACCTCCCTTTTTTGTATTCCAGTTCAAATTAGTTAATTCAGCAAATCCTTTCCCTCTTTGATTTTATCTTAATCTTTTATCTTAATATATTATAACTTTAGATTATCACCTGTTAACAGTCCATTTTTGCATATTCCTTTATAACATTGCGGCTAAAAACCACTCAACTTCAATCCAACATCATTCTAACATTCATTAATTTTGCAGTATTTCTGTAGATAGTCTTTAAATTTCTTCCAATCTTCTTCCACCGACTCTTCTCCCTGGTCTTGGATTCTGCCAGTCATTTCCGCCCGTTCCATATAGTCCATCACCTTCATCTGCCATTCTTCCAGAGTGGGTAAATCTTGTGTCTTCCAATACTTTGCTATAAGTATTCTTGCTGCTGTTGTAGCATACCTGAATCCTATTGTTCTAGGACCAATCAGACTGCTGCATTTTGGATCCTATTGCTCTAGGACCAATCAGACTGCTGCATTTTGGATCCTATTCAACTCAGTACATAACATGCGATCTGGGATCCCTTGCAATGTCACAGAAGATACTGCAGAAGCCATCCTGGTTTCTGATTTGATCCTGGAATGTCCTATTTGCACAGAATAGGGATGTCCGATTCCATAATAATGATGATAACAATTTTATTATGTATACCCCACACATCGGACTGGGTTGCCCCAGACACTCTGGGCAGCTTCCAACGTATATGAAAACTTAATATGAACCTACCTGGACCCTATCACCTTCTGAGTTCCACCTTCGTGTGCCTCCTCCTCAAGAGGTCTGGAGGGTGGCAACATGAGAACGGGGCCTTCTATGCAGTGGCTCCCTGTCTGTGGAATGCTCTCCCCAGGGATGTTCACCTGGCGCCTATAGACCTATAGGCGCCATGCAAAAATGTTCCTTTTAAACCAGGCCTTTGGTCGGCTTGATTGACATCCCATGCCCTTTTAAAATGTGGGGGTTTTGGGGGGTGGGGAGTTATTGAGTTGTTGTTGTTGTTTTGATTATGTATTTTGTGGTTTTATATTTTGATTTTATTCTGTGAACCACCCTGAGACCTGCCGGTATAGTGCGGTATATAAATTCAATAAATAAAATAAACAATAAAACATTTAACACTTTTTTTAAAAAAAAAACACTTCCCCATACAGGGCTGCCTTCAGGTGTCTTCTAAAGGCTGCATAGTTATTTATCTCCTTGGCTTGGTGGCGGGGTCACAGAACTCTACATTCCGATGAAAATAGGGACGTCCTAAGGAAAAGCGGGACATTCTGGAATCAAATCAGAAACCGGGATGGCTTCTGTAAATCCAGGACTGTCCCTGGAAAATAGAGACACTTGGAGGGTCCGTCCAAGTACTGGACATGGAATTTGAGAAGACACTCTCCTGCTCCCATTTTCTCCTCCTCTGTAGCCCCTGTGTCACCGCCACCAATTCTTCCTCCATAGATCCCCCACTTCTTCTTTCTGTGCTGATGGCCGATGGCATGTGAAGTGTAGGTGGGATCCCACGAGGCAAGACACAGTGATAACAGCAAGAACATTTCATGACCTACATAACTAGGAAACAGGGGCAAAGCAACTGCTTATATACATTCCTGAAAGCCTGGGCCACTCCCACTCCCAACATGATTTGCTGTCTCAACTTCTAAGCTGTGAATCATGACTCCAAGGGCCAATGGCAGAGGCCCAAATCCTGAAATGTTCTGTGATTGGACATCATGTATCGAATCAGGACACAGGAGCTCATAAATCCTTAGTCCAGGCTCAAGCTCAGGCAAACACAGACCACTGAATACATAACACCATGCTCCGCGGAGACTGGATCTGCTGCCTGAGGCTACTGCCTCATCAGGCCTCATGGGTGGGACAGCCCTGCTGCCATGGAAGGTTTTGGAAGACATCGGTTGGGCCTGTGTCCTCCTCTGGAAAACTTAGCCACTCCCTTGACTTCAATGAGGCTTCCTTGTAACTGAGTTTCCCAGGATTGCGCCCAGCTAATCTTGTCTTCTAAATCTTGCAGTGGTTGCCCAAAGGTCAAGGCCCAAAATGGTGTGCATTATTTGCATTCGAAGTGCAAGCTATTGCTGTTTGAACGCCGGCAAATCGTTTCCTCTAAATCTCTGGTCTTCTCATAAAAAGGTCTCCTTAACGTAAATCTCTCTCACACACATACCCTGAGAAATATGCCGTGGAAACTGAAGAAATCATGCAGGCCAAAACCCATTTCAAAACAAAACAAAGCTAATCAGGGCACAGCAGAAGGAGGCCGTGAAGTTTTCCCACTGGTTTGAGCCGGCAGAGTGTATAATTCTGGCACTCAACGTCGTCTGTTTAATGGAAACTTGAATTCTTGGAAATCTGATTCCACTCCCCCCACCCACCCCAGCCAACTATTAGGGTTCATAATCAGAAGGATAAACAATGAGGCTGATGTATAAAACGAAGTTTAGAAAAGTACATGTGACTTTAACTGTCAACCCAAAGCCAATGAGATGCTCAACTGAGACAGTGATCAGATAGGCAGTGTGCTGTGGTTTAGACTTAAGAGTAAGATTGGGGAGACCCAGGTTGCTTCCAGGTGACCAGTTTATTGAGCATTCATCCTAATTTGATTCCTGCATTGCAGGGCGTTGGACTAGATGACTCTTGTGGTCCCTTCCAACTCTACAATTCTATGATTCTACAACTCATCTGGACAGCAATGTCCCACACGGGGCTGCCAACAGCTTGCAACTAAACTTCGCTTCTTTGACGCACAATTGACTTGGACTGAGATACGAGTCTCATGCTCGCTCTTCGTTTGCAAGAGTCAAAGTCCTCTTATCTCACGAGAAACGATAATCTTAATAGACTCCACTCTGGAGAACGACATAGAAAAGGCTAGAACCTGGTCAAGGCACTCAGTAATTTGCAGAATTAATTGTGGCAGCCTCTTGGACAGATTGTGGAGGACTTGCTTTCAGGGCAAGTTCTGCGCTGATATTAAACTGTTTTCCCAACCTAAAAGAAACACAAGGATGGTTCTTCATTTCTAGGAGGCAGCTTGTTCCATGAAAGATTACTGCTTTTACTCAGAGCCTTTTTGTAGCTCCTAGGCATTTGGGGGGTGGGTGTAATTTCCATTCTGTATTTAAATGCATACCTACTTAATTCATGCTTCGCCAAATAACATTTGAACTGAAATGCAGCCTTCAGAATTTGCATTCCTCCAATGCCGTTCTCCAGCCAACTGATATGTTCAAAAACGCATATACAGTGGTACCTTGGGTTAAGAACTTAATTCATTCCGGAGGCCCGTTCTTAACCTGAAACTGTTCTTAACCTGAAGCACCACTTTAGCTAATGGGGCCTCCTGCTGCTGCCGCGCTGCCAGAGCACGATTTCTGTTCTCATCCTAAAGCAAAGTTCTTAACCTGAAGCACTATTTCTGGGTTAGTGGAGTCTGTAACCTGAAGCGTATATAACCTGAAGCGTATGTAACCCGAGGTACCACTGTACCATGGTTATGTGCGCATATGAATGCAAATATCCACAATAACGACATACAAAAATGCCTTACTCAACTGCTTCAATTGGTGAATTTGGCACTGCCACAGAAATCTGTAAAACCTTGGAACGTCCTGCCTATTGAGATCAAGCGGGCACCTTCACTTTACTATTTTCGGCACCTGCTAAAAACATTCTCATCTAGGCAAGCCTAACCAGAGGCTTAGAAATGCTGGTGTCAGTTTTAATCTGTTTTTGTTATTTTAACCTCTTGGGTTTTAATGCACTGCAAACGTTTCCTTGGTTATATGGTTTTATCTTTTTGCAAACCCCTTTGAGATTTTCTTTTGCAATCAGGTGGTGTATAAATTTTACAAAACAAATAAGGTTACGCAGTGGTTCTCAACCTGTGGGTCCCCAGATGCTGTTGGACTACAACTCCCATCATCCCTGAGCTCTGGCCTTGCTAGCTAGGGGTGATGGGAGTTGTAGTTCAACAACATCTGGGGACCCACAGGTTGAGAAAGGCTGGGTTAGGGGAAATATGCTTTGCCCAAATTTGCCAAAATATATGGGGGAAATTGCATACAATCTTCAGGAGGTGCTGCGCAGTGAGCCGCCAGAGATACATGTTTGCAGGGATAGCCAACACAGTGACTTCCACAGCTGAGCTACATCCCTGACCTTTGGCCATGTTGGCTCGGGCTGATG